TACATGATCTTTTAGCACTTTTAAAATTGAAAATCGTTCACTTTCCTCAGCAAACGGAGGAAACTAAAAATTTCCTACAATGAAAAAAAAGAAGAAACAAGACAAACCAAACGTTGACCAAACGTGTGAAAAGAAAAAAAAACCTGTTTGAATAAAATTACAAACAAACAAAAATAAAACAACATCCTGTACAAACACTGTGGCCCAATAATTTAAGAAAATAGTGTCTCTAAAACGTTCATATTGCTTTGTGCCTCCACTGACCAGGTCCGCCCTGTGTAACACCAGGCTGTTTTGGTAGCTACCCTATCCCAGGTTCTGGTGCTGCTCTGGAGGTTCAGGGGTCAAGCTGCAGCCGGTGGCGTGCAGGTGTCACAGAAAATAAAACAGTCAGGTTTTGTTGTCCCAGGCTTCTTCTCTGGTTGTTTTGGCAGTAACGATACAAAGACAAGAATGGTCACACTACTAGAGTACTGCACTCCTCGTGAAGGATGGTTTTACTGTTTGTTGTAGTTTTACCATTATTACTTTCTACAGCATTCTAACTAGAACTATCACCATCACAGACACACAGAGTGCATCATGTGTTTATGTGTGTACGTGGAGGTGGGTCTGCGTGTGTATCTGTGTATGTTTGGAGTATTGTATTTAGTGTTCAGAGCTTGTTTTCTCAAAGGAGAAGCTGGGAAGAGTCAGTAGTTTGGGGCTGGGATTCAACAAGCCTCCCGCCTGCCCCAAGCCCTCTCCGGTCCCCAGATCGAACGAGTCCTTGGAATCATTAGAGGGAATTCTCCTCCTCAAACAAGTGTCTCTGCTAAGCAGAGGAGGGGTCATCCCCAGTCCATCCAGCACCGGGTAGAGGCCAGACTGGGTCTCCAGTTCATTTGGGGCTTCCACAGATATGCAGGGTGGGCTTGTCTTTTTTTTGCYTCGGAGGGAGGGCAGTGAGCTCTGGGTGGGAATCTGGCTGTGAATCTGCGGGCTGTCAGTCTGGGACACAAAGCCCGAGGAGGTGGAGTGGGTGCTGCGCTGTGGCCTGTGGTCTTTTGAGGAACACACTTCCACAGAGTGGCGATGTGGGTCATCCAGCCAGGAGTGAGGGCGGGGGCGGGGCATTAGGGTGCTACGGCCTTGTGTGTCAGCACTGTGGAATCTCTTGAGCTGCCTTAAGCATGGACTCTTACTCTCCTGGCAGCTTACGTAGCCATGGTAACCCTCGTTGCTGCCATTGCTACCGTCCTTCACTTTGATACAATCACGTTCAGCCAGTCCTCTGCAGTTGATAAGAGACACCTCRTGATCCTCTGTAGCCTCCTCCCCTTCCTCCTGCTGGGGGCGAGCTGGTAGGATTGGGGGAGTCAGAAGGGAGGTTGAGGAGGTGTAGGATGTGAGGCAGTGTTGGTCGTGCTGCTGGGTGTGCACGCTGCCGGGGCGTGAACACCCAGAGGTGCCTGGTGTAGCAGTAATCAGGCAGAGAGCTGGCTGCTGCTGCTGATGATGGGAAAAGGAGTAGGGAGAGGTGGAGGAGGAAGAAGAGAAGGATGAAGGTACATCCAAAGCTGCCACATTCAAAAGTCCTTCACTGCTCCCCCTCTCTCCATCTGAACAGAGGGCCTCTTGAGAATCAGAAGACACAGCAACCTGGAAAATGGGGCACGAAAAGGAGGGGCGGTGAAATATTTAAGGGGAAATGAAGGTAAATATGTAATGAGAGATGGGGAAATCAGAGAGGTTGAAAATAGTTAGTGTGAGAAAATGAAGATGAGAAGCAGCAGTTTGGGTCAAAGTTCTTCTTCTGGCCAGCAAGTTCTCACAGTCTGTACTCCCTATTGTTGGGAGTTTCAGTTACAACATTCAGCTGTAATTTAGAATCCAGAGTAAATAAATGACTAAATATGTTTTGCTCAATCTGCTGTATATTTGAGCTCAGACTGTAACCGTTTTCAATGTAGAGAGTGGCAAAATTTRCCAATCTTATATATTTAATATATAAGATAATATATATTTAAACTTTAATCCTGTTCATGTAAAATAAAGACTGTCTAGTATTTTTTGCGGTACTTCAAAAAATTTAGATAATCAAATTAAGCTGCTTCAAAACATTATCAACAGACTTTAAAACTTATGAGATAAAAGGTTTTGAAAACTTTACTGCTGGCTGAGACTTTGATCTTTGAGCCAGACCACAATGACTCTTCAACCCTTGCCTTTTAACTCAAACCCCAGCAAACCATCAGCAGTCTCATTTTTATGTGGATTTTTTTCAGCTAGATTCAGATGAATGCTGCCTCCACTTAGTACATTAAAAAAATCAGGGTGCGAGGCCAGTAGATGATTGGGAAACGTAAAGAACTGCAGGGAAGGAAGAGTTAGTAGATACAATGACTGCTAAAACGTGCTCATGATGTCATGAACTTCTGTTAGAATTCAACTTTGACTCAATCTTTGGGGAGGAACAAGGGTTTCACTGCACTACACAGGATTACAACAGCACCACCTAGTGGTCAAAGAAAGCTATCAGCCTGGCAATGCCACCAGTCACCACAAAAGATAAAAGTGCACCTTGGAACAKTACTAAAATTGTTTAACACTTTAACTAGCTTTTATTTGAAATTCTTAACAAAATGGGCACACTAACATAGGGGTTTAAAAATTATCTGGTGCTCTATCATCATGTTACTGAGAGTACAAAATGGCCAAATGCATGTAGACAGCACTTTAATAGGAATCCCCTGAGTTGTAGTGTTTAAAATATAAGTGCACTGCATTGTATGTGTTCTTTTGTCACATTACACCTGTGTCCAGCTATCATACATTCTATGCCACAACTAAACATCTWGAAAAACTGCWATTCAGCTTTGTTCATGATGTTTACTTTCCTTAAATATTAGTTTTAGAGTTGTGGATGCTTTGTGTGATGGTCAGCAGTTGAAGAAAACTTGGATGAATTTTGGACAAAGATGGAAAAAGAAGGAAGTCTGTATATTATGAAAAAAAATGTATTTGTTTAAAAGTCTTTGAGGATGAACATGGAGTCCAATGTTTCTGAAAGGTCCAATGAGAGCCAAAGGTTTTTTATTTATTTATTTATTTTTTGCTGTTTCAGAAACAGGAGTATCTGTGTTTGAGCAGTAGCTCAGCGGCTGGAGGCTTTTGGCTCCAACTGAGCTGAGATCAAAAGAATAACAGATACCAAGTGGAAAAATGAGACGGCGGATCGGTTGCAAAATAATAGGAATACCAGGAGGGGGTTGAAAGAGAAAGAAGAAAGACAGTGAAATAATTCAGAACTTGCACAGAACCAGGACCAGATTATCTGCAGTGACAGTTTTAAAACTCCTTCAGGGAAAGAGCTGGGAAACATAAAAAAGGGAAAACAATTCAAAAGGTTCTGTAACTTTTTACATTAGGCAGTGGTGGACACAGTTCCCCTCATCTAGAGATGTGACGTTCACGGAAGATTTCGAACGGCTCCTTAC